TTGGCACATGAGAGGATAGCGGCTGCTTGGAGCTGAGAATAGCAAGATGGAGAGAAATAGCAAGATGGTCTGAAGAGTCAGTGCAAGCAGCACAACACCTGGCTGGGAATCAGTAACCAACACCAGCATAATGACAAGGGCAATATTTTCCAGATTCCCTACCCCTCACCCCCCCGAGAGAGAGGAGAGGTGGTAGTATTCAGGCTGGCCCGACATCAAAGGAAGGTGGTCCCATCCCGGACAGGGAGGAAAGAGAGTGGGGAGACTGCTCTCCACTGAGCACTGAAGACCAATCGGTGCCACTGGCTGAAGCCGATCAGATAGATCACAGGGGAGCTGGGCTGGTCTCCCGCGTGTTCCTCTGACAGCTCCACCCCCACCCACCACAAAAGCACTTGCGAAATCCCTCTCAGCCTGTCACGGGTCAGTATTCCAGCTCAAGGACTTTACCCTCTTGTCCCCACTCCTGGTCACTGCTCTCTCGGATGAAATCAGAGTTCAGCACTGACAATAAAGGCACCCCAGTAACACATACACAGACACACATGCTCCAAGCCTCAGCTCCCAAGGGTATTGCTCCTTCCCCCTCCACCTTAGCCAAAATAAATATTTAATTAGCTAAAGAGATGAAAGCCTTTTGAGCTGAACAAAATTAAACATAATTATTCACAGTAGAACTTTACCCACACAACCAGGCACACACACACACTTTTTTCCTAAAGAAAAGCTGAAGAAAACTTAATAGAGAAAAGACATGGCAGAATGCCTAGATGGTAGCACACCTATGGCTCTTCCTTTCCACCTTTGTCACTAACTAGATTGGAGGTAAGGAGATACACCAGACACAGTCACCTGACTGCTATGTCTCTTGGAATTCAACTTGTTCTCCCTGAGATCTAAAGCCAAAGGTACAGAAGGCCTGTACTGGACCCCATCCCCACCCTGGTCAGTGGAAAGTGGCAGGGAAGTTGATCTCATCAGGGATGTTCAGAGGACTGGCTTGGCATCCTACAGGGTGGGAGTGGAGCCCCTCTCCTTGGCTCCTAGGGCTCAGTAATGTTTTGTGCCAGTCTTCTCCCTAGAGAGAAGGTGAGGAGCTGGGGAGGTAGGCAGAGAAAGTGTCAGAGTGGCCAAGGGCAAGCACCTGGAGAGTGCAACTATCTCAACTCCACAAGATAACACCTATCTCCTTCCAACTCCATGAAGAGAGTGTGGAAGGTGGCATGAGGAGAGCCTGATGTGTCAGGAGTTCAGAAAGGCAGGTGAATGGGGGCTCTCACACCTGGGTTTCAGGCTTTCTGTGCCCACAGCCCTACCTTGCCACCCAGTACTTCCATTAACAGAGGAGCACTACCCTATCCCCACCCACCAGGGCCTAGCCCAGCAGGGAGAGGCTTCAGTTCAGCAAGGTCAGGACTTCTGACTTAACATGGGGGGAAGGGAAGACACCTGGGGCTCCCAGCCGGCCTCACTTTACACACCCCCACAGAACCAACGGGTCTGCTCCCAGGGGCAGTCCTGGTGGCTCCTTCCTCGGCATCAGCACACCAAGACAAGCAAGGGCTCTCAAACATAAGGCAGGGGCAAGAAGAGGGGGTGTGTACTCAGGACAGGGGGAGATGTCAGTTACTTCTTTTCTGGCAGAGAAAATCACACCTACAGATATTTTCCACTCATTGACTTTGCTCCCTCCCTCCCTCCCACACATGAAAAGACAATAAGGAGAGAGAGAGAGAGGAGAGAGAGAGAGAGAGAGAGAGAGAGAG